TATCTAATTTTTCACTTTTCTAAGTCCATTTCTTCACATTTTAATCTAGCTTATTCCCTAAATATAAGTTCAATAAGCTCTTTTGAACAAATATAGAAGAACTTAAAAAAGATTCACTTCTCTTCTCAGCTCATTTTAGCCTTCCTCGCATCTCTCACTTTTTCATCTTATCGCGAATGCTTCCACAACTATCACTATATATTAACATATATTGAAGAAATTGGAAATCAACTTTTAAAGAGTGTTTAAATAGTTTACATTCTGTATCTTAATTTTGGAAATCAATATGCCACCATACAACTATTTCTCACCAAGAATTGATGGATAGAAAACTTGAATTTGAAAAAATTTTTGAACCTTAATTAATGCTAATTTTATTACTTTAGCATTTAGATTAAATTAATTCACTGCGTTTGATTTCTATGAGATATTTGTAAACTTTTATCGCAATTCACTATTACAAAAGTGAAAAGATTTAGGGTAAATATCGAACTAGAAAGTTGTTTTTAGGTTTACTAGATTTGCAAATATTTTTGGCATTAGATATGTCTAAGGAATAACTTATATAAGTAAATTAAAAAAAAAATGAAAAGTATTTATTCAATTTAGCTAAAGAAAAGAGAGAAATTGAAGTCATTTAGGAAGATTCAAATTTCAGTGATAATTAAGATGATTTTGGATACCAAACATTATTAAGAAAATTTGTGCTAATTAATACAAAGGCAGCATATATTCTTTCAATCATAATTCCATCTAAGAATTTTTATTGGCAAATTACATTCTAAATTTGATTGAGAAAATCTTCATTAACGATAAAGAAAGAATTGATAATAATATATTATAGAAAAGCAGTTTTAACAGTAGTGAATTTAATTTATCACTGGAGCATTATTCTGGCACATTAGAACTATTAAAGCCAAAGATAAGATAGATTCGAGAAATTAAGTAAAAATTAATATAATTATCATAATTATCGAAGACAAATTGTGATTAAAATTTTATTAGATCAGCTTCTAATTGTTTGTATATTTTAAGTTCTTTAAAAGAAAATTTAGATAAGATTGATTTAAGTAATATTAGTATAGCAGATACTAAATTGAATGGAATAAGCTTTTATTAATGTATTTTAAACAATTCAAAATTTTACAATATTTCAATTGATTCATGCAATTTTAATTGTGCATAAATCGAGAATGCAATTTGGGAAAATTTGATTTGCAAAGAGAAACCATCATTATGTGGTCATCAATCTAAAATAAATTAAATTGTATTTAATGATGATGGAAATACTTTAATATCAGGCAGTGAAGATGGAGTTATTAATATATGGTAAGTATATGCCTATGATTAACCAAAAAGTCTAATTTTATAAAATAATGAAAAATTATTAACCTTTTCGAAAAGTAAAAGTTTGTTAGCATGTCTTACATCAAATTTTATATCTCTATATAATTCTAATGATCTAAGTGAATTACAATATTAAACTTTAATAAATTTTGACTATAAAGACATTATATTATCAACAAATAGTAAATATCTAGCTGTCGAATCAAATTAAGGTTAAATACACTTTTGGCTAATATCAAATTTATTATCATCAAAATAATAATAAAAATATCTCACTACAGAAAAGAATTAAGAACCTATCCAAACAATAGCAATGTCTCCAAATTATTAACTCTTAGCTACAGGTGGCATTAAAATTTAAATATGGAATTCTAAAAATATTCCAGACATTTAATTACTTCTGGAACTACCAGTATAAAAAAAACCTACATTAGCGATAACATTTTCAAAAGATAACTAGGTATTAGCAACAGGAGGTGAAAGTAAGAAGCTATAATTTTGGGATATCTAAAACCTAAAGTAAATTTAACTATTACATTCTTTTGATTCTTAGTCCATTATTGAATAAGTATCTTATTCAAAAGATGGAAAAATGTTTGCCTCAAGGTCTAAATCTTAATTAAAGTTGTACGAAGTATAAAAGTTCCCAGNCCCAAACCCAAACCCAAACCCATGAGAAGGAAAGAGTTCATAATAATATATTAAAGAAAAGCATTTTTAATAATAATGAATTTAATTTATCATTAAAGCATTATTACGACACATTAAAATTATTAAAGCCGCAGTTAAAATAGATTGGAGAAATAAAGTGAAAATCAATATAATTATCATAGTTATCAAAGTGTGATTAAATTTATAAGATCAGCTTCTAATATTCTGTATATTTTAAGTTCTTTAAAAGAAAATTTAGATAAGAATGACTTAAGTAATAGAAGATTAGAATATGGAAAATAAATGGAAGATCTTTTAGTTTGGAAAACAGTATAAATTGAAAGATTGTATACTAAAAAATGTGTTTTATTTAAATAGTCAAAGTATGGTTGTTCATTCTCATATCTTAGTGTTATAAAAATATATTTAAGTTGATGAAAAAGTCTAGATAAAAAAACTTTTCATTTTGTTTGATACTGCTAATTGTGCATATAGGTACATAATATCAAAATTTTATAGAAGTCAACTTTTTTTAGGATGGATTAAATTTTGTTTCAAGTTTTTCTGATCTTACAATTCCTGGATTATATTACTCTTTTTGTTTAATACGTTATTTATTGAATCCATTAGAAATTCTCGAAAAGCAATACAGGTACATATATTTAAATTTTATGTTATGTTCTCATAAACTAGTTAATCTATTTTTAAATTATGGAATTTAACAGCCTTTAAGCAATAACAATTCAAAAAAATGGATGGTCACACAAAATTGTATATTTTCTCACATGGTTTTCAATTAGTATCTGGATCGGAGTCTTAAACAATCATATGGGATTTTTATAGAACTTAAAAGATCTATATTATAATAAAATGTAAAAGATTGTCAAATTCATTTTGATTCTCTTAAAATTGATAACATTTTGCTGCTAGAGATGATTAAGATGCAATTTATCTCCAGAAATTAAATAAAAAATACATAATTGAACATCATATTATTTTATCATTAGGTTCTTATGATAATCTAGTTTTTAGTTAAGATCAGACACAAATAGCATAGAAATTCTAAAATTATAATTTTTAATTTAGAATAGGTCTCTAAATAAATGATATTTTAATCATAATTCAATTTTAGTTCGAAATCGATTATTCTTTAGTCTTATTTTCTTATAAAGTAAGTAGTATAAAAATAATAAGATATTAAACTTTTACGTTAAAACTAATCCATCTGAACTAATTAGTATTAATAATAATCCTGAGTTTAAGAATGAAAAAGTAGTGGGAATTGAATTATGTAAATAACAAAAATAGCAATAAAAGTCATTTCATAGAGAATTGGCTATTGAAAATTAGGATTATTATATTATAATATATTCAATTGAAAAAAATAAAAAGAGTCTGAATCCCAAAAAATAAAACAGTGTTATAAACGACTTTTTCTTGTTATAGCAAGATTTTTCTTATGTCATGATGATAAAACAATAAGAATTTGGAATATTAGTGATACATTTACTTTAATTATGTAGAAAGAACTTAGTATTATTAAGATTCTAAAAGTTTAAGATAGATATAATATCTACTAATTTTTCCATTAAAAGATGAAGAAAATATTGTTTAATGGCCTGAAATGTACTAATTTTGGGATGAAAAATTACATCATATTGTTTATTTAATTGATAAGGAAAATTATAAGATGAAGCAATAAACTAAGTCACAAATTTACAGAATCTCTAAGTTGGATATATTTAATTAAATAATATGATATCTATTTAATTTAAAAGAATATAAAATTATACAATATCGAGAAAAAATAAGTAATTACATATTTAGAAGAGAACTCTTTTACACAACTATCATATATCTTCGTAAGTCTGGGTAAAGTATTGATGAAAAAATTTCTGATTATTCAAAAATAGATATAATAGAAAACAAAATTAAATTTGGGTTTGTTAAATCATAAAGGTAATTAGAAGTATCAGAATATATGAAAATAGAAATTTGGAGATTTTTGATGCTTAAATAAATGGATGAAACTATTTTCTAAACAAATTTATTTTAAAAAAACAGAATTTATTGCTTATATTATCTGCTTAACAAATAATACTTGGAATTGTTAATGGATAATTTACTTATATATATAATGACAAGCAACCATGAGAAATCTATGAAAACAAATTAGTGATTAAATATTTGGAAAAAATCCTCTTTATATAAGCTTATTTTTGTAGTATTAAATAATCAAAATTTCAAACAATTAAGTATAAAATTTTTACAACAATTAGAAGCAAGAAACGAGCTATAAAATTAAAAACTCTTAATATTTTCTCTTACCTATTCAAAAAAGTAAGATAATATTTTTTGAATAGCTTAGAGAAAATATTAAGAGTTTTTGGATTAGAAATTTTTGAATTTTTAAAATTTTTATTCCCTCTTAATTGTCTATATTCCTCATTTTTGATGAAGCTCAAAAAAGAAAAAATATATTGCGTCTAAAAAAGGTTGAATAGATATAATCTTTTCTAATTTATAATTGTTCAAACTTAATTTAATTAATATTCCTTAATATAAAAATTAATTTATTATTGTGATAAATAAATAATTTATTTTAATATTCTGGCTCTAAAAGTTCCTGATTTCATTATTCAACCCTTCTCTTGACAACTAAACTTGTTTATGTATTACAGGTCAACCAAACAATTTCATTGTGATCAACCTTAATATCATTTTTTGTTTATAAAGAACTTATTTAAATTATTTAACATAACAAGATTTTTTCTATTTTAATAATTTTAGATTGATGATCGTAATCATTTATCTTATTTGTTTGAATTCAACAGCATCATTTGAAATATAAACTTTAGATCCTTAATACCAAATAGCACATTAAATTGTGAAGATTGAAGATGATGATTTTTTACAAACCAAATGCTTTAACTATGGCATTTGGTCTAAATATAATCCTCTAAGTACAATACCATAGACAGGTTGAGTTGGATTATTTGATAGTAATTACTATCTACTTCATCACATTATTGATAAGAAGACGAATGAATTAAATTTCATATATTATGATTGTTTAGATTATGAGGCAAAGACAATAAAAAAGACAATTTAGTTTGTTAATAATGAAGATGAATAAAAAATATATGAAATTGAAATTGAGACATTTGAATATGAAGACTTTTGGTATTTTTTAGAAATCATATAATGGCCCTTATAAAAACGATTTGAAATTTTGATAATATCTTAATAAAAAATAATAATTCATAGTATTGATTAAATAAAATACCCATTCAAGGGAATAGATCTATAATTGACTTTTGGAGGTAGTTTGATTGTAAGTAAATCTGGAATAGAAACAATTTAAAATGATGAATAATTCTCATATTATCCTGGAGCCATAATTATATAAAAATATAAAATATAAGATGAACTTAATATTATTGATTGGTTTAGTGATGTGTAAGATAAATTTAAAGGATATGAATTATGTTCGTGTTAACTGAATTAAAATGTAAATATCTAAGATTAGAATATCAATTCTTAATTAAAAGGAGAATTTGTTTCGGATAATTTAAATTGTAATTCTTTTGTTTTATAAGGATGGTTTAAAATATAAGACATAATTAATGAAGATAATCAATTTATATATCCATTTATAAAATTATCAGCTAATTTTGAAGATTCTAGATTATCTAATGATAATTTATCACCTTTTTAAATTTAATATAAAATATCAGATATTTAGAATTAAATTATTTTAAAAACTTATAGTTATACTTTTCCTAAAGTTTCAATAGATTTTTCAGTTAATCCCTTTTTAATAGTGGAACCTATTGATATTAATCACAGTATGAAATTGTGGCATATAAAATAAGTTAAATTGATAAATAATTAAATAGATATTTAAATTAAATTTTATGATTAGTAAATAGTTCATGAATATAATTATTAAAGAGAAGTTCGTTAATTTTAATAATTGTAATTAAAATTATTATATGGAAATATTAACTAACTTAAATCAAATTATTTGCATATTTTAATAAGAAATTTCTTATTTTTTAATTGTGATCAGGCTTTTTCTGAGAAGAACTGCCATCCAAATTGTTAAGAATGTGATGGTCCTACTAATGAAGATTGTCTTTCTTGTTCAGATGAATCCAAGAGAATTTATATACCTGATCATAAAGTATGTGTTTGCCCATATAATACAATTGATGATTAGATTTGTATTGGTTATGAAGAATCAAATTTAGAATTTATTGATGAACCGTTCATAAATACTGAGTGTAAGTATGGTTATTTTGAAATAGATAATGAATGTTACAAATGGTAATTTATATATTATATTTTTAGTCCTTCTATAATTAGGAAAGATTTAATTATTTGTTTAGAGTGCATATAAAATCCTAAATCTTTTAGTTAAAACCCAGTTTGTGAAAATGATTTACATATCAGTCAATTAAATTAAACTGAAACACTTAAATGGAGTTATCCTTATTAATTATTATTTGATGGAAATGATTTTAGTGTTTTAGGGAAGATATAAGAAAAAATATCAATTATAAATGATTTAGATAATTTTTACTACGACTTTTAAAAAAAATAAGCAATTTTGGGACTAAGCTGTTGGGAAAATGATTATGAATGCCAACTAAATCATTATGGGTGCTAAACATACTATATATCAATTACTAAAGTAAAATGTACATCATGTTTCGCTGGATAGACACTAGTAGAAGATAAGTGTATTTCAGATTATATGTATAAAGAATCTTGCCTTACTCCTAAATATATAACATCTACATATGAATGCAAATTATGCCCTAAAAAGAATTGTATTTACTGTTTTGAATACTAAAAAGATGAATCTTTCTTCAAAAGTACTTTGTATAAAGATTTTGAAAGTTTTAATACTGACTAAAAAATACATATTGGTTGTGCAATGTGTGAGGATGGATTCATTTTTGACTTTTTGATTGGAGAATGTCTAAAATAATAACCATAAATTGAAACTTGTTTAAGATC